GATATGTACTCCTTTGCCTGGCAAGTACAAACCCTTCTGACACTATCAGAGAGATCTATTACAGAAAAATGCAGTACAGTACAAATTAAAGGGTGCAAAACTCCTCATCCCTAAAGAAATCCTGGCGCGTGTTCCTCATGTTATTCCCAATCAAAAAAAGAAGAGAAAGCAGAAAGAGAAAGTAGCCCTATCATGCTACCCTCCTACCCAACCATTTTCCAAGCTGAGGCTGCTGTGCCTCACTCTGCCTGCTCTGAGAGCACAGGGCTCCCAGCTCACCGAGAAGGCCAGAGGCATGTAGTTTCGGCGCCGCACCAACTTCTTCCGGTCCCGCTCGATCTTCTCTTTCTGAGCCAACTGCTGGTAGTACTCAACCAGCTTGTTAATCTGGAGTTAAGAAGAGGAACAGATACCAGTGAAAGAAGAACAAACATCACACCAGCTGCAATATTTCAGTGTGAACAAGCTGGGGTTCCTGCTAATTGTTTCATTCCTAGTTCCAGTATATCACAGGATATACATCAAGGACGCTGCTGTGCCTTAACATTCATTTATGCACACCATGGGTGACAAACTGATGTTCCTCTGGGAATGAGGCCTGCCAGAAAACAGCATCCTGTTCTGATTTTCCAGTTAGTAACTGTCCCCGTTTAGATTCATCCTTTAGTTTTTCCAAAGCATGCTTTCAAACTTATGAAGAGTTTTAAAGGTAGACCAGTAAGGCAAAATTTGATGTGCTCTGTCGAAGGTTAAGAACACCTCTCATTAGGTAGCAGCCTTCCTCAGACACACAGAGACTCATTAGTGCAGTTTTAACAGTGCCACTTGTTACTACGTTTGCAGTGGAAATCCTCCCAAACAAGCAATTTCATACTGTGACATCCATGGGTAAGCCTCTAAGAGGCCTTCCTTCCACTGAATTCAGTCAAGGCAGAGATTATGAACTGGACATGGCACCAGAAGAATTGTACAGGTGCAAAAAACAAGATCGAGATGGCCTGGCACCTCTAACAGCTCTTTTTAGCTGATGCCAACTCAGCCTAAGGGTGGCCTTCCCCTTCACTCACCCTCTGTGTGTGAGGATTCTCTGGTTCCTGCCAGCCACCACTAGCTGCAAGAGAATAAAACAAAGTCCTGAGGAGATTTCCAGACTCCACACAGAAATCACACCTTACACCCACCTGCTTCAGTCCTAGCTTTGAAATATGGCTTTCCCTATATTTACTACTCTCACCATCACAGTTCTTCAAGTTTGTACCTGCATAAATATATACCTCTATGAGCTTTTCATGGGCAGGTTTGGGTTGAAGTGACTTGTCCAGCTTCTACACTGCGTTTTTAAACAACTTCTGCTTGAGGAATACAGAACAGCACCCAGGATGACTATGGCAGTATGCACATCAGTTTATAACTACATGTTCTTATTAACAGCTGCCCATGTCTCTGCACCTTCACCTCTAGGTCGTCAGTCATGAACACTAGGAGTCAAAGAGAAACTGCCTGCTCTACTCAGCCTCGTTCCTGGAGCCTGATACATATTTTCTGCATGTCTTATGGACTGAGAAATAGACAAAAGCTTTGTTCCTTTTCTGTCATGAAGAGAAAAAACAGGGGCACACACTGACTAATACCTCTGAAATAAGCCTAAGCAAACAGAAGTAACAGGAAATGAGCTAGATTTCTGTGCTGTCAGACTGAGCAACTTAAAAGACTGAAGCAAGCTCTCAGCCAGGGGAGGGAGCACACCTACTGACAAAGATCCACGTCTGACAGCTTTCTGACAGGTCAGGTAACACCAGCATGGAAGTGGGTCAGATGTTACACTAACTCAGCTCTTCAGATGAGATTTCACCAAAAAAGCATTTTCTTGTTAATTTCCCAACTGCAACTCAAAATCTAGACAAACCTTATACTTATCATACAGCCATCAACTAGGCTGGTTGTATTCTACCTTCACTAGACATGGTGGACTGCTATTTCCCTTGTATTTTTGCACATCACTTACCAACAGACTTGTCTGCCATGCCCACATCCCGGGAAGTCCAGCGGCAAAACCCACAGGCCAAATAATATGCTTTCTTCATGGTAGTTTTGGCTGGGTCATCAGGGAGCGGAGCAGGAATGCTGGTGGCCCGAGTGGAAAGGGTGTGCATGCAGCAGGGGCAGTCAAAACAGTTAGCACACCTGGAGAGAGAAAGGCCTTAGAATCATGGAAACATTAAGGCTGAGAAAGCCCTCCAAGATCATCCAGTCCAATCGTCAGCCCATCACAGTGCTCCTATCTCTGTCCACAGGCACAGGAACACACACTCAATAGGCAAATTAAGATTAAATCAACATCACGGGAAAACAATTTTTCCCCAAGACAAACCAAAAGGTAACGAGTGAAGTAACGTTTGAAGGGGGCTTCAGGTACTTGTGGTTGTGTGCTCACAACATAAGGACAAAGCTGCTCTGAATGGTGGCCCTTGATGACAAATGAACCTTACCGATTCTTTTTCAGCTTGGCCTCAGCTGATGGCATGTTTTCCAGGCAGCTGGGGCAGTAGTGGGAATCCACCTGAGGGACAACACAGACATGTCACTGTTCTGCCATGCTGCAGCACACAGACTGCAGCTGGAAACTGCTGTGCTATTCATGAGGCTTTGCCTGCGGACAGGTGGGCGAAGCCAGAGAGAACCTGAGGTGTTCTTTCAGTATCTGAAACCTCAGGCTGTCTCAGCCAAAAACTGATGTTTAATAACGCTGGAAGGTTTCTTAAGGCACTTAAAGCACTCTGCCTGGTACATGGCAAAGGCACAGCGGGGACTGGATGACTGCAGATTCCACAGCGTCACTTCTGAGTCCGGACAACAGGCTGCAATGCACTATTTGCCATTCCCATCTACATTTATTCTGCCTTGTACCTACAGTGGGCACGAAGCCACACGTTTCAGGAAATGTTTTGCTGCCACAAACTGACGTTGTCAATTAGCACAACGGTAACAGGAAGGAGACCCTGCCCAAATTAGGAAACATCCACAGCTAGGAACAGCCAGGCCTGAGGCCTCCCGGGTGCAGCGCGATGGAGGCAGGTGGTGACACATCTATTTTCTGCTCCTGGGAGGTTTTACGGCTTGCAGACACGCCTCTTCAAGGAACCTAATGCCTTTCGTAACGTTTCTTTAGCCTCTGATGCTTTCTTAATTCACAGTATAACCGGGCAACTGATTCAGGGAGCCCGAGCGGCCACCCGGGCCCGGGACAAGGCCTCACCACCCCGCAGGAGCTCAGCCCTCCACACGCGGTTCCGCCCCTGCCCCGTGCGATCTCGCCAATCAAAACCCAAGCTCCGCAGATGGACAGGATCACTGAGCCAATCCACCGCGAGGCACCGCCCCCTCTGTCATGGACAGCCAATCGCATCGCTAAGCCCGGGCAGCGCTGTGCCCACCCCTGGCTGGAGCCGCAAGCCAATAACGAGGCGAGTCGCGAATAAACGACAAACGAGGCAGCCAATAGGCGCGCACGGAGGGCAGCGCCCCGTTCCGTATGCCGGCGCTGCGCGGCCGGGCGGCCGTTACCTCGTGCGAGACGCACTCCAGGGAGCGGAGCTCGCTGCAGTAGCGGCAGAAGTAGAGCTGCGACAGCGGGGCCCGCATCTCCTTCTCGCCGCGCACCAGGTACAGCACCCGCTCCGACTGCAGCAGCGACGCCATCTTGGGAGGGAACGGCCGCCACGCGCCGCGCCGCGCTTACGTCACCGCGCTGCGCCGCCCCCGCGTGCGGTGGAGACCACGTGACCTGCCACTTTAACCCCTGCGGCGCCGGGCGGGACTAGATGGCGCGCTGACGCCCTGTTGTATTGTTGTATTGTGTGCAGAGCTCGTGTACGGCCTGCAGAGCCTGAATGCCCCCTGCAGTGTTCCTATGGATGCGCGTGGCCTCTCGCAGTGCAGCACTGTTTTTTGTTGCATGGGTATTTGCAGCGTTGCATTGGGCGTGCATGGCCTGGGTGCCTCTTGCAGCGTTGCATTGCCTATACGTTGCACAGGTGCTTCCTGCAGCATTGCAATGCTGCATTCAGCTGCCTCCTAAGTGGTGCGCTGGCTGTGGGGAGGAGGAGAGCAGCAGTGCCCCAGCTGTGCCTGCAGCTCCTGATTGTCCCTGTGCAGGGCTCAGGCACAGCCACTCTTTACTGAGAAGTGAGCAGCACAGAACAACCCAGAGATCTGCTGATGTGTGTCATGTCTGGGTGCTGTGCTCTGCATGAAGTCAGCTCCTGGGCATGGCACTGAGGTCCCTCTGTGTGAACCCTGCGGTGTCGTGCAGCTTCAGCAGCCGCCTGCCCTTCCTGTGCGGCTATCAAGGAAACCCACAGCTGTGATGCTTCCTCTGCATGGCGATAAGACCCCGTGTGGCTTTATCCCAGGCTGCACTGGAGGCTGATGAGGGGTGAGCTGCTGTGGGCTCCTGCCTGGCTCTGAGCGTAGGGCTGCTGGGCTGGAGGAAGTGAACTGTGATGGTGCTCAGTCATGAAATGTCAATAGAATACGATGAAAGAGTGTCATGACCTGGGAGGAACACACAGGGACCATCGAGCCCAACCGTGGCTTCATACAGGAACACACAAACCCCATGGCTGAACGGTGTCCAAACGTTTCCTGAGCTCCTGCAGCTTGGCCCATACCCCCGCCCTGGGAGGCTGTTCCATGCCCACCGCCCTCTGGTGCAGAACCTTTTCCTGACCCTCCCCTGACGCAGCAGCATGCCGTAACCCTGGAGTCGTATCACTGGTCCCACGGAGCATCCATCCCACATCCATCCCCGCACCCCACAGCAGTGGCCGCGTTACCCCATCCCCTTTGTTCTCCCGCTCACAGCGGGCTGCAGGGGCTCGGACTTCGCTCTGGAGAGTGAGCTCCCAGCCCTCTTTCCCCTCCGGGCTTCCTCCCCCACTCCCTCCCCCGCCCGGCCCCGCTTCCCCTCCCCGCCCCGTCCCTCCCCCGACGGCCGCCCCGGCTCCGCGCTTCGTGCCGGGGCCGTGTTCGGCGGGACGCTGCCTCCGCTCTGCGCCGCAGGTAGGGGACCGGCTCCGGGACGTGGGTACCGCCGTGGGATTCGCTTCGTGCCGCGCGGTGCTGCTCCCCGCCTCGAGCCACGCGTGGCCGTCGGCACCGCTCTTGGTCCCGGGAAGCTCGGAGCGCACCAAGCGGGCGTGGAACAGCCCCGGAGTCCACCCGTGGGACCCCCGCCCCGTCGAGGAGGCGCCGGGAGCGCAGCCCACGCGTGTTTTCAGCGCGCTCGAGTTGCTGAGGAGGAGGGGAGGCACCGCGGTGGTGATGCCCACCGTGTGGTGCCGAAGCAGCGCTGCTAATTGAGCCGTTAATTGCGTGACTCAGCGGGAACCGGGGGGTGTGGGGAGCTGTGAGCACGGGCTGCGTGGCACCACGCGTTCCAGTGCTCTGCTTCCCCGGAGAGCTGCTTTGGGGCTGGACACCCACCGGTTGTCCACAGTGCCTCATTGCAGCATCGTTCTGCACTGCCAGCAGACCCTGAAGTGAGCGGGTGACTGGTGGGATGCCTGCTGGCAGCTTTGCTCCATCAGCTCCTTTAATTGCAGCAGCAATTAACAGGGAACATTTTTTTCCCCGGGCTTCCATCCAGCTGCATCAAAGCACTCCGTAAATCCCACAGTGTCTCAAAGGAGCTTTGGCCAAAGCCTGTTTGCTCTGCAAAGAGCACATGCCCGAAGCTGGACGTGGTCTCCTTGGGGAGGCTTTGGGCTCTACAGCCCCATCACTGCTCTGTGTCTCCCTTTTAGGATGGACCTCCCTATCCCTGCTGATCCCGCTGCCCTCCCCAAGCACATCTTGGACATCTGGGTCATCGTTCTTATCATCCTGGCCACCATCCTTGTCATGACAGCCCTGTTGCTGTGCCCAGCCACAGCTGTCATCATCTACCGGGTACGGACTCACCCCACACGCAATGGCATCGTGTGAGGGAGATCAGCAGGACTCCCACCACGGGGCACCCCGAGAGTGGGGAGAGGATGGGGCTGGATTGGAGTGAACCACCGTGTTGCTGGGGAGCACAGCAGGATCTGGTTGTGTGGCATTGAGGACATGGAGGTGATGCCCAGCTGGAAGTGACTTGTTCTTGTAAGATAGCTTGCCTCTGCCATCTTGCAGCCATGTTATCCCATTGGGACTCTCTCAGTACCAGCAGCAAGGCAGCAAGGACCGTAAATGCCTGGCATAGTTATTTCTCCAGCTGCTGAGGTGATTGGAAAAGAAGAGTCAAAGCCAGATGACGGATGTGGCTTCTGGTTGTGCCTCTGTACTGCTGAAAGCATTGCTGCAGGAGCCCATCCCAGCAGGAATGCAGCTGGCACCAGTGGTACCATGTGTCAGATATCAACTGGAATTGCAAGAAACCCTGCAGGGTTCAGATGCTATGGGTCCAGTGGGACAGAGGAGTGTGGGAAGCTTCTGCCTCTGCCTGCATGATGTTGGAGCTGCGTCCCTTTCCCCGTGCCTTCCTATCAAACAGGCAGCAGAGGGTTCCCCCACAGGTACTGCCAGACCAAATAAGCTAATAGAAAATAAAATGACTGTATTCTATTTTGTCTGTATGTCTGTCTATGTGTCGTGCAGCTCTGTCCATGTGGTTGGTGTCTGGGTGCAGCGCTTTGTCACAGCTTCCCAAACCCTTGCCCATCCACAAGCCCACTGGCACAGCCCCATGCTGCAGTGCAGCCCCTGCACTGGGTGCGATGTAGGTCCAGGGCTGCTGTGTGTGGGACAGAAGCCCTGTGGCCAGACCAGCATCCTGGCATGACTCAACATGAGAATGTACGTAAGCAGTGAGCTGAATCAGGCTGGGATGTGGGAACGGTTGCTTAAACGCTGTGCTCACCGCTGCAGAGGTACATCCTCTCATTTTGGGCAGGGTTTGCTTTGGGGTCAGGGGAAAGTGCAGATCCCAGGGAGCGAGGAGATGTTCTCCTTTCGAGCTGTTGTACTGCTCTCCCCTCTCAAGTTGCCGAACTGAGCAAAGAACCAGATTTCTTCCTCCTTTGTTCCTCCTCTCTCCCTCTCTCACTGGCACTCACAGCGTGCAGCTGGTGGTGGTCACGGTGCTGAGGCTCAGAGCAGCCCCTGCCTTGCTTTTCCCCCATCCCACCCCACTGCCAGCAGCTGCTGCCTGGGACATGCATGGTATGTAGAGCAGAGCAGTATAACAGGAGGTGGATAGGCACAGAGCCACAGCTGTGTTAGTGGTTTGAGGAGGAAGCCTGGCTTGAGGTAAGAGAGCAAAAAACAGCTGTTCCCACCTCCCTGAGTGCTTTTCTCCTGGGCCAGGGGTGCACGAGGGATTTCCTTTTGTGGCAGCGGAGATTTCTGGGAAGATTTGATCCTATTGCAAACATTTCCAGGAAAGGCATTGCGGAGCATTGCAAAGAAGGCTTTGTGAGCAGAGCCTGGAGCCACGTGAAGCAACATGGCAGCAGAAGGGAGAACGGGGGGGAGCAGGGGCGCTTCCAGATCATGACAAGGGGGGATTGCACACCTGCAACAAAAATTCACAGGTTGTGCTGGGATTAATGTTTTTCCATGGCCATGTGCTGGCTCCCGGGGTAGCAGAGGTGCACGGGTTCCCTGTCCCTTGCTGTGGCCTCTACAGCCTCTGATGTGCAGAAGGGGTGAGCAGTACTGGAGGAGAAGGGTATGGAAGCAATGGGTGTGGAGCACCTGGTGCTGACCCAAAGCCGGGCAGGGCAGGATGCTGCTGTCCCACTGCAGCACCGGAGGTGGTGGTAGCAGGGATGAGACTGGAAGCACTGCTGGCCGTCTATCCCCAGCCCCTGCCAAACATCTGCAGCAGGCGGGGCTGGCTCCAGCAGAAAAACACCCAAGGAGGGAAGCTGCTGGGCAGCCAGCCTATCCCACACTCCCCTTGTTGGGGTGGAGGATGCTGCTCCAGCCTCGGCACGGATTTGGGGTGACACAGGCAGGATCCCACAGAACTCAGCCATGGGGATAGGGATCCGTCTACCACAGCTTGCTGAACCCTTCCCTGTGCTTCAGTGCTCTCCCCAGGGAGGCTGGCCTGGCGTCAGGACCTAAGGAACAATTTATTTTTGTTTTGGTTTAGGAAAAGAAAAGGCGGTTCAGGAGCAGGTCAGCCCTTCCCTGCGTGCGGAGGCGATTTAGGGACGTGTGGAAGGGACGTGTCCACTTCTGCAGCACAGCTCCGAGTCCCTGTGCACAGCTGGAAACCCACCAGAGCCCCACACCAGCAATTAGGGGATAAATATAAGAATGGTGTGAAATAGCAGGGAGGGAACACAGCTCGAACAGCCCCACTGCTGTGTCCAGAGCGTTCCCTGCTATGGGGAATTACAGAAGGGCTAAGCCACCTCTCTACATGCTTAAAGCTTTAGGGAACGCTGTGATTGAGGAACACGGAGGGACCTGTGGGTACACTGTCCCATGGCCAGGCTGTAGGGTTCCCTCCATTCCATTGTGCAGGGAGCAGACCCCGAGCCAGCTGTCCCCTGCTGCAGGCGTGACCTATCCGCTCTGTTCCTAGGACCAGAGGTTCACTGCTCTGAACCCTGTTTTCCTAATTAAGCAATCCCAGCTGTGTTCCATCAATCTGTGGTACTTCCCATCACTGACACCAAGCAACCCTGGGGCTGTTTCAGAGCCTGCAGCCCCATCCCAAGACATCGTGTCCCTGCCATGGGATGGGGATTGCTCCCCTGAGCCCACAGCATCGCTGCCCTTCTCCTTCAGTCCTCTGGATTTGGCAGGAAGCCCTGGTCTGGCCAGCACTGCTCTCATGCAAAGGTAAGGTCCAGCTCTGGTGCTAGAAGCTGGATACTCACTGTGTCTCAGGGCTCACCCGCTGCCACACTTTGTCCCAGGTCAGTGAACCCCTGACCACAGCCTCCCCCCAGCTCCCCCAGAACAGTTCATCAGGCCATTTGGAGGGATTTAAGGGAATTTACACCTCATTGCGGATATTTCCCTTGGAGCCAGCCCAGGGTAAATGTTTGCATTCCCTGAGTGTGCAAGAAGGGCCTTGGAAATTCCTGTCCCTGAGGATAAGAGGATAAGGGACCGCAGGATTCTGCCCTCGGCTTGTGACTGCAGCATCACAGCGGGGGCACTGTGGGGTCATCCAATGGAGCTCTCAACCCAGTCTCCTGAAGGATGCTGATGGAGTGCTTTGGTCTCTGCACTCGCCCGTCCCTATCCAGGGATGGCAGCAGGGTGTCACCTTGCCCAGGTGCTCCTTGCCAGGGTGGGGCTTTTAAATCCCATTGCATAAACCGGGATTTGAATCCCCAGGGGCTCATATTGCAGCCTGTAGGTCACACATCCCTGCCAAGCAGAGGCGGCACTGCCAATTGTCCCCTCCCACCCCAACATAATAAAAAATAAAAGAAAGAAAAATAGAAAACAAACACTAAAACCCCCCAAATAAACCAAAACACAATCAATCAAAGTAAAGGAAAAACAAACAAACAAACAAACAACAATAACAAAAAAACACGATGCCCCGCCGGCTGCGCATCGCCCGCCCCAGGGCGCACACACGGTTAACGGCGCGGCCCCCCCGCCCTCTCCCCCCCCCTCCCTCTCCCCCCCCCTCCCCGCCGGCGCTTGGCCCGGCCCCGCGGCCCCGCCGCTATTTCCCCGGCGCCGGACCGGGTGCGGGCAGAAGGCGGTGAGCCCGAACCCCTCCGTGCGCCGTCCCGGGGGTCCCCGCACCACCCGCCCGCCCCCGATATGGGGTGCCGAGCCGTCTGCGTGCTGGCCGTGCTACTGGCCGGGCTCGTCCCGCTTGGGCAGGGCCAGGAGAGGGAGATGGTAAGGAGTGGGGGGCAGCGGAGGGGTGCGTGGGGCAGTGCCGAGGAGGGAGGGGTGCAGAGCTTTGTGCCCCCGCTGTGCTGCCCGGGCTGGGCACTATTCCCAGCGCAGTGTGCGCGGAGGGCGGCAGGATACGGCCCGGGGCGGCGGAGCTTCCCGTGACTCTGTCTCCTGCCAGCTCCTAAATATAGCCCCCTACGGTGCCGGGCACCTCGGTGGGCACGGCTGCCTGCTCCCCCCGTTAACCCCCGCACCGCGCGGCTCCGAGCGCGGCCGTCCCTCGGTCACCGCGATACGTCCGTTCCGCGGCGCCGCGTCCGCCGGGGAGGGGGGGGGGGCGTTCTCATCCCCGCTGTGGCGCGGCCCCCTTTTCGCCTTCCCGGGACTCTGCAGCCGGGTAAACATCCCCGCCGCTGCAGCAGCCGCTCCCGTAGGATGGGTCTGCGCACATCTGCACGTGTGAGTGCACCTCCATACGGCGCCCACTCTGCTGCCGTGACACGTCCCTCGTGTCCTACATGGTGGCCAACGCTGTCGTGGCACAGTGACGGCCCCCAGCCCGGCCCCACAGCCTGCTCCCCATAGGTGAAATGCTACGACTCCGTACGGGGCACCATCTATGACTACGGGGCGCTGACCATCGATGGGGACGAGTACATCCCCTTCCGAAAGTACGCGGGGAAGATGGTGCTCTTTGTCAACGTGGCCACGTACTGAGGGCTCACCCTGCAGTACCTCGGTAAGGTCCCCAACCTGCCCTGCACTGGGAATGGGGTGACAGCGATGCAAAGGGCCTGGATTCCCCTAACCTAACCTATCCCCGGCTCTTTGTCTGCAGAACTGAATGCACTACAAAATGAGCTGGGGCCCTATGGACTTGTCGTCCTGGGCTTCCCTTCCAACCAATTTGGGAAGCAGGAGCCTGGTCAGAACTCTGAGATCCTCCCCGCACTGAAGTGAGTACTGGGGATGAGAAAGGTGGGATATGGAAAGGCTGTGGCAACGTGGGAGGGTTCATCCCCACCTGGAGGATGAGGTTTTAGGGTCCCGTGCCCAACTTGGAGATGAGATTTTAGCGTTCCTTGTCCATCCTGGGGATGAAGTTTGGGGTTCCCACACGTCACACCTCTGCCTGTTGTCCTCTTGTCCCCCACAGGTACGTGCGGCCAGGAGGTGGCTTCGTCCCCAACTTCCAACTCTTCCAGAAAGGGGATGTGAACGGGGCCAAGGAGCAGAAGGTCTACAGCTTCCTGAAGGTGGGTGCTGTGCCAAGGGTGGAGGGCAGCACCCAGATTTTGGGGATCACGCAGCACTGATGCATCCCCTCCCTCTTTGCAGAACTCCTGCCCCCCGGTGGCAGAGGAGTTTGGCAACCCCAAGAACCTCTTCTGGGAGCCACTGAGGAACCACGACATCAAATGGAACTTCGAGAAGTTCCTGGTGGGTGCTGACGGGGTGCCCATCATGCGCTGGTACCACCGTGCCAACATCGCCACCGTCAAGAACGACATCATCGCCTACATGCGGCAGCAGCGGGGCCAGTAGCCCCCCAGCTCAACCCCCTGCAGCCCCCAACCTGGCCCTGGGGAACTGAGGATGACATTTCCATGAAGGCCTGGCCTGAAAGCCCCCATCATGGGGTGGGCTCGACCTGATCCTGCCCGGGTGCAGTGCAGCCCTTCAGTGCATTCAGGCTGCCCGCACTGCGCAGGGATGTGCTCCTCTCTCAGCCCTGGGGGCCG